CTCCTAGTATCTCGCACAATATCTCTCCCCTATCTCACAGTATCTTTCCCTGTATTGTCTCTAAGCTATTACTGTCTCTCACCTGTCTCGTGAAATAATAAAATGTATGAGTTTCTGTCTAAATGTCTCTCTCTCTCTATCAGTCCCCAGAAGATTGATGAAGGCCACCTTAAAACTGCCATAATGGTGGCGCCCTCCATCACCATACAACACCACAATGGCACCATTAGGGTGTCGCTCAACACCTTCAGGGCCAAAACTGGTCCGGTAACATTAAGCGGATCAACTCAAGATTAACCACCCTAGTTTATTTCACCCTGAGATAAACCCTTAATTTATACTAATATTATCTTCAAACGTTTAATCCATTTCGATTAATTAATCCAGTTGTAAGTAACCGATGCTAAACAGATTTCTTTCTAAAGACCCTGATTTCATGCAACGCAAACTGCTATTTTAATTCGCGGTGGGATTAAGCAGAATCATCGATTCGCTGCTACTTCTAGTAAGTGTGTGTGTGTGTGTGTGTGTGTGTGTGTGTGTGTGTGTGTGTGTGTGTGTGTGTGCCTTATCCTGTGTGTGTATCAATGCTTGTCTCTGAAAACAGTTGTATAAATGAAACAGTATTATTTAGTTTATTTAATGAAATAATTTATTTTACATTCCCTGTGAGGCACTGGAAAGAGAAATTTATATATAATGTTTTATTTTTATCTATTTATTTATGTTTAAATTATATTTCATTAAATGAATACTACACAGTTTTTACGAAATGAAAGACTTTCCAATGAGATCCTCCGATGAACCAGTTTAAAAACAAGGTTTTTTGCGGACAATCATTCGTAATGGATACAATGCAATACATATGCAACCGCATTAGCTACACCTTCAGTACGAGATTTCATTAATTAATGTAATAATTTTTGTTATAATTAATAAAAACAGCAAGGGACTCCGTTGAAATCGACTTTCTTCACGAGCGCGTGTGTATGTGTGCGTGAGTGTTAGAGCATTATTGTAAGTTATGTAATAATTGTGGGGTAACGTTGTAACATAGTTTGGTATTGTGGCAAAGATTTCTTCCCATTTGTTATAATAACTGAAAAGAGAAAAATATATACACATACAACCATTACAGTTGTTACTGCCACAGTAGGATAAACTAGAAGAGAGAGAGAGAGAGAGAGAGAGAGAGAGAGAGAGAGAGAGAGAGAGAGAGAGAGAGAGAGAGTGTTGACAACGAACTTTGCTGAGGTGTTAAATGTGAAACAGATGGTCCTCGCCTCGGACTGACTCGCTCCTTGTGGGGTTCAGAAGATAGTCTCTAGCCGTCCAGTGAACTAACAAGTCAGGGAGCTAACAAGTCCTACATTAGACCCGAAACACGTAAGTTTTTATATAGTTTATCACCGCCACTCTACTCAAATATATAATATGTAGTTGTTAATAATGAAGGAACGTACGAATTAATTAATTATCTCATATGTAACATATGTAATTTGCACTCTGCAGGTTTTGACCGAATAAAGAACAATCGAGTCTTACGGGCAAGGGTCTCATCCTACAGTCGCTCATTGGTCGGTTACAACAGTAAACGTTATCCAAGAATACATAGATATATTGTGAAAGGCATGACATGAACTTATTAAATATGAGATCATGAGATTGAAATATGAAAGATCAATTTCCTCGTCACAGGTGCCTTCAAGAGCCGGATCGGGCAGCTGTGATCGGACCATTACATATTGTAGGAATTGTGTCGTTATGCAGTTGTTTCTTTGTCGCCGTCTCCCTCTCTGATTTTTTCCGTGGTTGACCTTTGTAATTACTACATTGAATCGGGGGTGCATGAGGTCATTCTTGCTGTTTATCCCAAATTTGCTAGCCCACACTGATTTGTCTTCAATTAGAATATGACGTCTAATGTATATGAACCACTGTCTTGCATGGCAGCGAACAGTGACTGTTAACGCCGCTGGCTTTAACGTTGGTGTTAGTGTCATCGTGCTGGCGTAAGTGCTGGCATCGCCGGGAGTGTTTTCAGTGTCATCGCTGGCGTCATGGATCATCTAGTGTCAGTGCTGACGTTTTTGCTGCCTTACCCAACACAAGATTGGGGCTGGGGGTGTTTGCGGAGTAGACATCATGACTCTGCTAATGTATGATTTAAAAGGCGGTGTGGCCACCTGGACTCCAGGAGACTGCCCCCTCAAGTGATGCTGTGAGGATCAACAATCTGCTAGCATTGGTGAACAACAACTCCCAATCCTGGCCGAGTTTTGTACTGAAACAATTTGCACAGAACTATCTTCCCTTGGAACACCATACTGGTTCGCATTGACCCACACTTGTAAGTACAGCCAAAGTAATGACATACCCCTCAGTACTGAAATATTGTGGACTAATTATGCCCACTCGTTCCTGCCTTATCTGGAGCAATAAGACAACGCGGAATGAAGTGTAGCTAAGATTAATAGAGTTATGAACTTTTTATCATGTCACTATGCTCAGTAATCAATTGTAATTAAGATAAATTGTGTGAGACTAACTAATTATGTATCAGATAGATCACCATGTAATACTAATGAACGCCTTGTTGTCTGCAGGTTTTGACCACATCAATAAATATTAAATGCGTCAAAAGACGGGTTTCAATAATTCCCTTCGACTTGCCCGTCACCTGAACGTCCTTAACTAAGGCGTTTACAGTGACATTACCCACATGAATCTGACCTATGTATAGTGTCAATGAATATGATGCATTTTTTGTGTACGAACCTCTGTCCTGCATGGCAGTGAACAGTGACATTACCCACATGAATCTGACATCTATCTATATATATATATATATATATATATATATATATATATATATATATATATATATATATATATATATATATATATATATATATATATATATATATATATATAAATGAATATGTTGTATTTCTTTGTGTATGAACCTCTGTCCTACGTGGCAGTGAGAAGTGAGACCACCCTCAGTGTCAAAACCTGACTGAATTACTCAGAATAGGCAAACTGTACTACAAGCTTTTACATTCATTCATAATATTTACTACGTACTATAGTAAACAAACGGCCTTGAGTTGCCAGCTGTCTCCAGCAGTGTTCGAAGAATCTTGAACGACTGTACGTATTATGTATATTCAGACAAATTTGCATGCATAGATATACATATTACATATTTATAGACATATACTTACAGACAGACAGACAGACAGATAGACAAATAGACAGACAGACAAATAGAAAACCCCGAAACACCTCCCAAACACATATACCCACACACAGAGGCAGGGAAGCAATCACATGAAGATCACTTTTACACAACTCCAAAATTCAACTTAACAACCGCTTTTGTTCCGCCTAAATTGACATTGCAATGAAGTGACGTTAAGGAGAGGGTACAAAAAAAACATGACAGACAGACACTATTTGCTTTATCAACTCAAGGGGGGGGGATATAGATAGAGGGAGATAGGGGGGGGCAGACAGGGCGGGGATTAATAAGAGAGGGAAAAAATACAGTGTTTTTGTCTTTTGTGGAGGAAATGGTCCAGCAGGAAAGGTAACTGTGTGTATTTTTTTTTTAATTATCCCCCCCCCCCCGAGTTATGTTTTCATTCATTTATTTTAGTTTTAGTTTTATTTATCTTGTGTTTTTATGTGTAAGTTTTTATTTTATATTTATTACTTATTTTAATTCCTAATTCATCTTGTTGAGTGAAAAACATACATATTTAAATTCATTAGTAAAATAATTTGGTTCGTGATTTTCTTGAGCAGGTGTCGCTATAATTTTAACAGGTAATATAGAAGGGTCACACTTCCATGTATATACACTGCATTGTCACCTTTATCTGCACGGCTTACTTCACACAACCCAAACCACTAGTTAACCAGCAGGCAACTAGCAATAACACGAGTCATGAGATGGCTCCTGATTAGAGGAAAACCATCACCGGCTGTTGGGGGCGCCATCAATGACAGGTGATGTTTATTCTTACTGGGGATTCAACGTCAGTCCTACTCACACCACCTCGGCTACTTGTCCCCCCCCCCCTACTGGCCGGCTATTTGTAACGTGTATTAGTACATCTCAGTACATCATTTTTCACCCTTGTGTATGTGTTTTGTGTTGATTTTGTTTTAAGAATATTATATAAAAATCACTTGCATATATTTCATGTCCTACAATTTATACTGTGTTGGGTGCTGTCATGTCAACCATGAGTGTGGTGTCAAATATTCAATTAAGCCAAGTGATGCTATAATAACTAAACCTACAGTAAAACATAATAACTCTAAAAGTTCACAATACAAACAGATTGTCATTTGTTACGTAATTGGGCAAGAGTATTACAAGGTATTATAACTAAATAATTTCAATCAAAAAGTCCCTAGACACACACAGGTAAAGGAATCATTTAAACTTTGAGATTAAAATAAAAGTTAAATTAAAGGAACTTAAGGCATTTGCCTTCTTCATTGCTCAGTTTCTGTAAGGTTGTGTACATGAAGGTGTGGCTATACAACAACAGGTGCTTCAACTGTGTATATACACCAGGTGTCACTATATCACACTAGACAGTCCTATATTAAAAGCTCTTGACAACAATATTACCACGGACGAGCGAGTAACGAGATAGCAGCGACACAACTCGTGCAACAAGAATATGTAAATAAGGGGGACACTTGATACAATGGTCAGTTGTTGCAAATGAGTTTTACCGTAATTTTTTTTTTTTTTTTTTTTAGTCAGAGTGAGTTGAGTGTATTCTGGTTTGGTAAAAATATATATGAATCGGAATTAAGCGCTTGATTGTATTTTGTCTTGGGAGGGGGGTGTGGTAGTGGTAGTGGTATGTGATGGTGGCGGTAATGTGAGGTGATAGTGGTTGTAGTGTTGGTGGTAGAGTGTGGTGGTTGAGTGTGGTGGTAGTGTGGTGATAGGGTGACCTTGAGGGTAATATAACAATGTGGATGCACACAATCACTCAGTGTCCGCTAGACGGCTGAGTAAGGAAGGTCGTTTCTCGTGTCAGGCTCCAGTGATCTACATAGGACCACCTAGCATCACTCAGCACCGGCCAGCATCACTTGGCACCACCCAGCAATCTCAGCACCACCTAGCACTATGGCAGGTAGGGCAGACTATGGTGTTGCTTGTATGTATAGTATATATGTGTATGAGTGGACGTATAACATACATACATACATACACTTCACCTCAGGTCGTACAGGATTATTCCACCATCCAGAAGTATAAACAAACCCAGCTGATATCATGTCAACAAACAGTAAGGTATCAGCTGATGAGTGACGTCACCTAAAGGTATTGACACACCTGTACAGAGAAGATCATCCTGAATGTAATCATACCTGTCACGCACTTCACTATCATACGCCCCTTCCTTCATTTTACCCTATGGACGCTCTCCTTTATCTTCCTTCCTTCATTCTTTCCTTTAAACACCTCTCTCATTATCTTCCTTGCTTCATTCTTCCTGAGATTTTATCTATCATCGTCTTTCCCTCCTCCAGATTCTGTCTTCACGTACGACGCCTCCACCTGGAGCGTCACGCCGGCCATGAAGGAAGCCTACAACAAGAATGGTTACATCCTCGTCAGGTAGGTACTGAGGCCAGGTAACATCCTCGTCAGGTAGGTACTGAGGCCAGGTAACATCCTCGTCAGGTAGGTACTGAGGCCAGGTAACATCCTCGTCAGGTAGGTACTGAGGCCAGGTAACATCCTCGTCAGGTAGGTACTGAGGGCAGGTAACATCCTCGTCAGGTAGGTACTGAGGCCAGGTAACATCCTCGTCAGGTAGGTACTGAGGGCAGGTAACATCCTCGTCAGGTAGGTACTGAGGGCAGGTAACATCCTCGTCAGGTAGGTACTGAGGTCAGGTAACATCCTCGTCAGGTAGGTACTGAGGCCAGGTAACATCCTCGTCAGGTAGGTACTGAGGCCAGGTAACATCCTCGTCAGGTAGGTACTGAGGTCAGGTAACATCCTCGTCAGGTAGGTACTGAGGCCAGGTAACATCCTCGTCAGGTAGGTACTGAGGTCAGGTAACATCCTCGTCAGGTAGGTACTGAGGCCAGGTAACATCCTCGTCAGGTAGGTACTGAGGGCAGGTAACATCCTCGTCAGGTAGGTACTGAGGGCAGGTAACATCTTCGTCAGGACTGTCAAGCAATAGTTAATACCACCAAGCGGTTCTCTACAGGCAGATGTTGAACAGGAAGGAGATCGAGAAAGTTAAGGCGGCCCTGGAGAACCCCGACGGAGTGCAGCGGTTCGCCTACACCCGCGAGGACGGCAAGAAGCGAACCAACAAGATCGTCCTGTGGAACCATCCCGGCCACGACATCACCGGGGTGTTGGCCAAGACGCAGAGGGTCGCTGGAACCATGGAACAGGTACACGATACATTGAACCACGGTACACGCCCCATGAACCACGGTACACACCCCATGAACCACGGTACACACGCCATGAACCACGGTACACACGCCATGAACCACGGTACACGCTATGACCACGGTCCACACCATGAACCACGGTACACACCCCATGAACCTGGTACACCCATGAACCACGGTACACACCCCATGAACCCCAGTACACGCCGCGAACCACGGTCCACACCCCGCAACCACGGTACACACTGCGAACCACGGTACACCCCATGAACCACAGTACACACCCCATGAACCACGGTGCACACCCCATGAACCACGGTCCACACCCCATGAACCACGGTACACACCCCATGAACCACGGTACACACCCCATGAACCACGGTCCACACGCCATGTTATCTCTCCTTTCAGGTAATAGGCTGGAGATCAAGTCAGTTACGGTAAATGTGTAACGGCGGGCAATGATGGGCAATAATGGGATAATGGCGGGCAATGATGGGCAATAATGGGATAATGGCGGGCAATGATGGGCAATAATGGGATAATGGCGGGCAATGATGGGCAATAATGGGATAATGGCGGGCAATGATGGGCAATGGTGGGATAAAGACGGGTATTAACGGCTAGTGATGGACAGTGATGCAGCGTTTAACTCCCCTTCAGCTGATGGGAGGAGACGAGGTGTATCACTACCATGCTAAACTCATCATGAAGGAAGCTAAAACTGGAGGCACCTTCCTCTGGCACCAAGACTATGGGTGAGTGTCTCTCTCTCTGTGTTCTGGTATTGGTTCCTGGTCTGTGTGTGTGTGTGTGTGTGTGTGTGTGTGTGTGTGTGTGTGTGTGTGTTTGTTTGTTTTTTCTATCTTTTTCACTATTCACCTTATTCTTTAATCCTCCCTATTCGCCACCCCATCCTCACCTCTCTTCCACCTCTAGTCCTCCCTCCTATATTTCCGCATGGCCAATCCTATTCCATCTCCCTCTTCTGGCTTTTTCTCATGGCGGTCTCTAATCTGCCCTGGCCTTAGAGTTGAACACATCCAATTTACACAGACCCCCTCAGCCAGACTCCAGCCCCCTCAGACCTCCTGATGTCCATTCATACCCGCTCAGCCCCCTCCAGCCCTTTCAGCCCCCCATCAGACCCCCCTCCAGCCCCATCAGACCCCCCTCCTCCAGCCCCCCATCAGACCCCTCCAGCACCCTTCAGACCCCCCAGATGTTTATTTATTTTAATTCCTTAGGGGAGCCGATGCCCAAAGCCCCCCCCCACACACACACACACACCACTCGTTTAATCAGCTCTCCACCCTTCCCTTGCTCCCCCCTGTCAAAGTCACTATATCGATGACGTCCATTCTACCATACCATCTAAAGCGGGTATATAAACCACTACCACTACTACCATAACCACTACTACCACTACCACTACCACCATAACCACTACTACCATAACCACTACTACCACTACTACCACTACTACCATAACCACTACTACCACTACCACTACTACCACTACCCCTATAACTATTACTACCAATATCACCCTGCTCACTACCTTGTCACCACACCATCAACACAAAGCCTCGACCAAACACACATGTACGTCAACCATACACACCTGTACATCAACCATACACACCTGTACATCAACCATACACACCTGTACATCAACCATACACACCTGTACATCAACCATACACACCTGTACATCAACCATACACACCTGTACATCAACCATACACACCTGTACATCAACCATACACACCTGTACATCAACCATACACACCTGTACATCAACCATACACACCTGTACATCAACCATACACACCTGTACATCAATCATTACCTCACCTTTTAACCCTCCCTCTAAGAGCTACATCACCTTACCGTCCACCTGTCTTGTAGATCTAATTTGGACAGAAAACAGTAATAAATCTTGTAGGTTAAGAGTAGAATTAGTTATGTCTTTATCTTATTTACTGAACACTATTAAGAAGACACAATGAACACTGAGACTCTACCTTCACTAGATAACGTTCACTTAGCACCAGTTAGGAGATAAAATGAACACTGAGACTCTACGTTCACTTAGCATCAGTTAGGAGACAAAATTAACACTGAGACTCTACCTTCACTAGATAACGTTCACTTAGCACCAGTTAGGAGATAAAATGAACACTGAGACTCTACCTTCACTAGATAACGTTCACTTAGCACCAGTTAGGAGATAAAATTAACACTGAAACTCTACGTTCACTTAGCATCAGTTAGGAGACAAAATTAACACTGAGACTCTACCTTCACTAGATAACGTTCACTTAGCATCAGTTCGGAGACAAAATTTACACTGAGACACTTAACTAGATACCTTCACTTAGGTAGAGTCTCAGTGTTAATTTATCTAACTAAGTTTCTAAAGGTAGAGTCTCAGTGTTTGTCCTAACGTGACAAGAAAGTCTCAGTGTTACAACGTAACTGTGCTAAATGATTGTGATCTAGATAGGTAGAGTCTCAGTGTTATTGTCTCTAACTAGTGCTAAGTAGACGTTATCTAGTTAAGGTAGAGTCTCAGTGGTAATTTTGTCTCTAACTGGTGCTAAGTAAACGTGATCTAGTTAGGTAGAGTCTCAGTGTTAATTTTGTCTCCTAACTGGTGCAAATGAACGTTATATTAAGAAGTCAGTGTTAATTTGTTCTAACTGTGCAATGAACGTGATCTAGTTAGTAGAGTCTCAGTGAATTTGTCTAACTGGTAAGTAACTATCTAGTTGGTAAGTCTCAGTGTTAATTTTGTCTCCTAACTGGTGCTAAGTGAACGTGATCTAGTTGAGGTAGAGTCTCAGTGTTAATTTTGTCTCCTAACTGGTGCTAAATGAAAGTATCCAGCTAAGGTAGAGTCTCAACATCATTTTGAATCCATTTTTGCGTTGTTATTCTGTGTGTTGAGTTAAAGTCCAAGAAGTAAGAGCGTCCCCTACATTATTCACTCGCCGATATTATTCATTGTAGGAACCTTTAACAATCTCCAAACAGTTGAATGTGAAAACGAAGTTAAAGCTTGTAATTACTAGACGTTATTTCCTAGCTTAACTCAACCCAGAGATTCATACAGACATCAACAAAGGAATATCGTAGTAATAAGCTTTGTTCACCAGACACAACAACAAGATAATAACCATCACCACCACCACGGACCCCGCCACCACTACCACCACCACCACCACCCTCACCACCACCACCACCACCACCACCACCACCACCACCACCACCACCACCACCACCACCACCACCACCACCACCACCACCACACCCACCAACACACACCACCACAAAAAAAAACACACAAACACACACACACAACCAACACAACAACAACAACAACAACAACAACCACCACCACCACCACCACCACCACCACACCACCCCACCATCAACAAACAACAACAAACAACAACCGTCACTAACAAGGTCATTAAGTGATCAGGGAGCCTCAGCGAAGAGCAACACACGGACCAGCTTCAATCATGAACGCCTACACGATTTTCCGTTGTCTTCCCATTAATTAGTAGCTCTCTCTCTCTCTCTCTCTCTCTCTCTCTCTCTCTTCTCTCTCCTTTGACACCACGACTAGGGTGCCACTTATCTCCCCTCCCTGGCACTGGGCCCCCAACTGCCTCTCTCTCTCTCTCTCTCTTATTCAACTTCCTCCCTCCTCCCCTCTGTACCCTCTCGTACCGCCCCCCCCCTCTCTCTCTCATTCAAACGTTCCACTCTCTCTCCCGTTCAGGTACTGGTACAGGAACGGCTGCCTGTACCCCGACATGGCCTCCGTCTTCATACCTGTAGACGACACAGACAGAGCCAACGGGTGCCTGCAGGTGCTCAGAGGTTCACACAGGCTCGGCCGCGTCGACCACCTCGATATTGCTGATCAACTTGGTGCTGACCCGGAGCGTGTTGAGCAGGTGAGAGAGAATGTGGGGGAGGTGAGAGAATGGGGAGGTGTGAGAGAAAGAATGTGGGGGGAGGTGAGAGAATGGGGAGGTGAGAAAGAATGGGGGGGTGTGGGGATAAGTTGAGAGATGGAGTGTGGGAGGATAAGTTGAGAGAATGGGGGGGTGAGAGAGAGGGGGGGAGCAGTAATAGATAATGGTGACATCCTCTCTCTCTCTCCCTCTCTCTCTCTCTCTCCTACAGGCACAGAAGGTGCTGGAACACATATATGTGGAGATGAAGGCCAGGGACATGCTGTTCTTCCACCTGTAACCTCCTCCACACCTCCGACCAGAACTCCTCCGACAGGCGCCGCTGGGTCTTCATCGTCTCCTTCAACAAGAGATCCAACAACCCTTACAAGGAACACCACCACCCACAGTACACGCCATGACAGGTAGTGTCCTCTGTACACGCCCATGACCAAGGTACTGTCCTCTGTACACGCCCCCATGACCAAAGTGACTGTCTCTGTACACGCCCATGACCAAGGTACTGTCCTCTGTACACGCCATGACCAAGTACTGTCCTCTGTACACGCCCATGACAGGTTCTGTCCTCTGTACACGCCCATGACCAAGGTACTGTCCTCTGTACACGCCATGCCAAGGTACTGTCCTCTGTACACGCCCATGACAAGGTTCTGTCCTCTGTACACGCCCATGACCAAGGTTCTGTCCTCTGTACACGCCATGACCAAGGTACTGTCCTCTGTACACGCCCACAGCCAAGGTACTGTCCTCTGTACGCCCATGACCAAGGTTCTGTGGGGTCTCTCTAGATAACTTCAAACACAGGTTGGATGGATATATGAGCGATGGGGTTGGGTGTAAACGGGACTGGCCAGTATGGGCCAATAGACCCGCTACAGTTGCCTCCTATGTGTGTGTCTGAGTGTCTGTTTACCTGTCTGTCTGTCTGTCTTAAACGACCCTTATGTTAAACTCCAACATCTTCATTACACACTTCTATCTGTCTGTCTGTCTGTCTGTCTTAAACGACCCTTATGTTAAACTCCAACATCTTCATTACACACTTCTATCTGTCTGTCTGTCTGTCTGTCTCTATCTGTCTATGAAAATAATGATTCTTTATATTGAACTAAAAATTAACTTTGAATTAGACATCAGTGTGTGCTGGTCCTCGACAGGTGGAAGACTCGGCCTTACTGGAGTGCGACGAGACGAAGAACCAGGAGGGCAAGTGGTTCATGGTGCCGGGAGGACTATTCTGTGTGGCGTAACGTACACTAGTCACTCCTGCTACTACTCCACCTACTCCTCCACGTCAACCTACTCCTCCAACCCCCCACCTGTTCCTCAACCTTACTTTACTCCTCCACCCCCAGCTACTGTTCCCTCACCTCCTCCACTAGTATCTCCACCTACTCCTCCACCTTCACCTACTCCACCTCCTTCACTAGCACCTCCCCCTCCACCTATATCCCCCCCCTCCTCCTCTTCCCCTCGCCACCACCACCAACCAAAATCACCAAAATCAACCAAACTCCAACAAAACTAGCTACCTGTATCAACTAAGACTGTTATTATTCACATTAATAACCAAGAGTGGCTTTGTTTACCTGGAGGAAAGGAAAATGGGCTGGGAGGAGAAAGGAGGAGGAGAAGAGAACTTATGTACTGAAACTTACTCAAGATGTAATAATGAAATAAAATCATACACACAATGTTTACTCTTTGATAAATGAAACCTTCTGAGAGATAGACAGACAGACAGACAGACAGACAGACAGACAGATAGATAGATAGACAGATAGATAAACATTAATAATATAACAAGGTACCTGAATTAATTTACATATTTGATGGTGTTTTCCCGACCGCGGCCAGACCAAACATTCTGGCCCTCTGTTGTGACTGAAGAGTTTACTGAGAGATAGAGATACCGAGTGAGAGATAAGAGATAGTGTTATCTTACCCCCCTTTGTGTTGTTTTTGAAGTAGTAAAAGCAATTACCAATCCGAGAATTGAAACAAGACAAGTAGTAAGCTGGCATCTCAAGCTAGAGTTTTGCCATTCACAGCTAAATTTAAACTAAGTCATGTTAAAGGTGTCAATATTTTCTTAAGTTTTTCGTTCATTATTATATACAGCGAGACACTGATGACAAGATAAGATACAGTTATAAAGGACAAACATTAACATATACTAAAACTAAGAGGATATAAATACAGTGCTTGGCGTCTTCAATGTTGCCATCAGAGGAGGTTTCATTAGCACTTTTACCTCTAGACAGACAGACAGACAGACAGTAGTGGATAAGACAATGGGTGCAAACAATATACGTAGGCAGTACAGAGTATTATAAAGAATAAAACTATACAGAATACGTGTGTGTGTGTGTGTGTGTGTGTGTGTGTGTGTTGTGTGTGTGTGTGTGTGTGTGTGTGTGTGTGTGGCCCTGACCTTGACAGTGGACTTAGCGATGGACAAGTTAAAGGTTTTATCTGAGTGTGTGTGTTGTCGTCAGGCGAACACTAGCGCCAGACTGACGTTACCAAGGTCAAAGTCTTCATATATATATATATATATATATATATATATATATATATATATATATATATATATATATATATATATATATATATATATATATATATATATATATTGATACAAGTGCTGAATTAGGTTCAAAGTATTACCTGCAGATTAGCTCCCCCAGTTTATTTCACCTTAAGATTAATCAACCTAACCTAACCTAACCTAACACGCACGAAAAACGAGCACAATTATATTAACAGTTTATTAAGAGATAAATAAAGGCATGAGTCAGGCATTAGTGTGAGACCCAAACACTTACCCTGGGCACCCCCTCGTCGCCCTCAGCCCTGCCTGCCCCTCACCCCTTCCTGCCCCCTCACCCCTGCCTGCCCCCTCACCCCTGCCTGCCCCTTCACCTCTCTCACCACCCCTTCCTCTCCTCACCCCTGCCTGCCCCTCATCCCTCTCCTCACCACCTATCCCATCCCATCATCTCCCATCATTATCCCTTCTCTCTCCTCACCCACCCATTCCTCACTGCCCCCCCACCTCACCACCACAAAACCCATCACTCCAACATCACCCCTTCCTTATCACCAACACCACCCCTATTCACCACCCCTTCCCTCCACCTCCCAACACCACCCACCCCCTCCCCTCACCAGACACTACCCCGGTGTGGTGACTGTTGAGTGGTTCAGTGTAACAGACAGCAAGACACTACCCACATCTACCTCTCCAGCAGCGTGACTACATCCACACATCCACACCATGGCAGAAGGTAGAGAGAGAGAGAGAGAGAGAGAGAGAGAGAGAGAGAGAGAGAGAGAGTTACTACTGATTCAGCATGTATATATATAGACAATGCGGGTATATAGTGGGTGTATAGAAGGCGTGTGTCAGGGCAGACGTGGGAAGGAGTGTGTGTGTGTTGTGTGTGTGTGTGTGTGTGTGTGTGTGTGTGTGTGTGTGTGTGTGTTGGTGTGATGTATTTCATTTAAATTTTGACACTTACAGAGGCTAGTTTATTGTGCACCCCACACTCACCCTGTGAACGGTAGCGCAAAAGGATTACAGAGTAGAGTTCACAAAGGGTCAGTGTAACTAACCCCCGTGGTCAGGATATTATGGCACTGAATGTTACACAGTATTTCAAATAAAATCTTTGTTTAGTTCTATACATAAAAGGTAACTTATTCACAACTGCGTGAGTACAGGCGTGTGAGGCAGTATGTCTGGCCGTGTGTGTGGCGTGTGTGTTGGGAGTGCAGTAGTATGTCGTATATGTGAGGGGGCGTGTATGGGGGGCGTGTAAGGGGGCGTGTAAGGGAGGGCGTGTAACAGGTGCAGGGGCGTGTAAGGGAGGCGTGTAACAGGTGCAGGGGCGTATGGGGAGTTGTGTGTGTGTGACACGACCTGGAGTTAGGAGGGGGGGTGTGTGGGCGGTGAGGCATGTGTGAGGTGGAGACAGGGAGGGAGGGAGGGAGTGACAGGAAGGAAGGAAGGAAGGAAGGAAGGAAAGGAAGGAAGGAAGGAAGGAAGGAAGGAAGGAAGAAGGAAGGAAGGAGCCTGGAAGGAAGGAAGGAAGGAAGGAAGGAGGAAGGAGCCTGAAGGAAGGAAGGAGGAAAGGAACTGAGGAAGGAAGGAAGGAAGGAAGGACGGAAGGAAGGGAGGGAGAAATGAATGAGGAAGGAAGGTGGGAAGAGGGAGAAGGAGGGGAAAGAAGGGAGAAGGAAGGAAGGGAAAAGGGGAAGGAGGGAACTGGAGGGAAAAAGGAAGGAGGAGAGGAGGGAGGGAGGAGGGAGGGAGGGAGGGAGGAAAGGAGGGAAAATAGGAGGGGAAGATAGGAGGGAGCTAATTACATAAACCTCACATTCTTACGACAATTTTTTCCATCGTGTGTTACAGAGTCGTTCTTCTCGTACGGCCAGACAAGTGGTGCGTCACCTGGCCATGAAGGATGCCTTCCTCAACAACGGCTTTATCCTGGTTAGGTGAGAGAGAGAGGGAGGAGTGAAAGAAAGAAAGAGAGAGAGAAAGAAGCTACTCACTCTATATGTTAATGCTCCTCGTCTTGGGGTAGACCTAACACACACACACACACACACACACACACACACACACACACACACCAAAGGAAGTATTGACTCACAACCAGCGTCTGAAACTAAAGGGTAATATTTTATTTTTCTCAATTAGTGTAAAACAACAACACCAACAACAACAACAACAACAACAATAATAATAATAATAATAATAATAATAATAATATAATAATAATAATAATAATAATAATAATAATAATAATAATAATAATAACAACAACAACAACAACAATAAGCAAAACAAACCCACATGACTGCGTCTCTTCACCACCCAAGGAACATGTTGACCAAGGAGGAGGTGGAGAAGGTGCGGCGTGTGGTGACCGGCAGTGAGGGCGTCATGCGTTATGCGTTTGGTCGCCACGATGGCATCAGCAGGAAGACTATGCAATGTTTATGGAACCACCCGGGACATGACCTGAGCGGCGCACTGGCTAGGATCAAGAGAGTAGCTGGTACTATGGAGGAGGTGAGAGAGAGAGAGAGAGAGAGAGAGAGAGAGAGAGAGAGAGAGGTTAATGTAGCAAAGAGAATGAAGAAGAGATTGAACAGGTAGAAAGGTAGATTGATTGAACAGGTAAAAAAAGATAGATTGATTGAACAGGTAAGAAAGAGGTAGATTGATTGAACAGGTAAAAAATAGAATTGATCGAACAGGTAGAAAAGAGGTAGATTGATCGAACAGGAAAGAAAGAGGTAGATTGATTGAACAGGTAAGAAAAAGGTAGATTGATTGAACAGGTAAGAAGGCTGGTAGACTATGGATAGGGGTAGTGTATAGAACATAATTTATCTACTGCATCACTATGAATAAATGATTGAATTAAGTTTTGTGTGTGTGTGTGTGTGTGTGTGTGTGTGTGTGTGTGTGTGTGTGTGTGTGTGTGTGTGCGCCTTGTTTCCGACCATTCTGCATTAAAAGACAAAGGGACTCGAAAATATAAACACAAATAAAACATAAAACAAACAGACAAGAAGATAAAACAAACACACGAATTACACAAAACCAAACACCAAATTAGATAAAAAAAAAACTCCACACACTTGATGAAACCTAACTCACCCGCGTTATAACCTACAACCTCATAACCTTAACTCACCCTGTATCATAACCTTAACTCACCCTGTATCATAACCTTAACTCACCTGTATCATAACCTTAACTCACCCTGTATCATAACCTTAACTCACCCTGTATCATAACCTTAACTCTCACCCTGTATCATAACCTTAACTCACCCTGTATCATAACCTTAACTCACCCTGTATCATACAACCAACTCACCCTGTATCATAACCTTAACTCCCTGTATCATAACCTACTCACCCTGTATCATAACCTTAACTCACCCTGTATCATAACCTTAACTCACCCTGTATCATAACCTTAACTCACCCTGTATCACAACTTATAACTCACCCCTGTATCACTCCTTAACTCACCCTGTATCATAACCTTAACTCACCCTGTATCCTTAACTCACCCTGTATCATAACCTTAACTCACCCTGTATCATAACCTTAACTCACCCTGTATCACCAATAACTCACCTGTATCATAACCTTAACTCACCCTGTATCATAACCTTAACTCACCCTGTATCCTAACCTTAACTCACCTGTATCATAACCTTAACTCACCCTGTATCATAACCTTAACTCACCCTGTATCCTGCTTATAACTCACCCTGTATCATAACCTTAACTCACCCTGTATCATAACCTTAACTCACCCTGTATCATAACCTTAACTCACCCTGTATCATAACCTTAACTCACCCTGTATCATAACCTTAACTCACCCTGTATCATAACCTTAACTCACCCTGTATCATAACCTTCACCTACAACCTTCATAACAAGACACAGGTGACAGGCAAGATGTTATTGATAGCTACACAATGGGCGACTCCCTAGGCCATTGTGTTATAGGGATCACTGTGGTCCCTCATATGAAGGTCTCTTGTGCTGTGAGTTCATGAGGAGAGAGAGAGAGAGAGAGAGAGAGAGAGAGAGAGAGAGAGAGAGAGAGAGAGAGTGTTAACCTCACCATCGCTACATTCTTCTCTCCACAGAATCCATCTCAATCGTACAACATCCTCTTGTCTTCCATCCTCATTTACCTGGTCTGGTCGTCTCCTTGTTGTCTTTACCTCCTCCTCCTCCTCCTCCTCCTTCTGCACTTCTTCCTGTCTTTAGCTAACTCCTCCTCCCTCTTCCCCTTCTCTGAACAGCTGACATTTTTACATGTGATCAGTTGACTTCTGCTTACATGTGATCAGCTGTTTTTTGTTTACATGTGATCAGCTGTTTAAAGTTTACAAGTAATCAGTTGCTTTTTGTTTATAAGTGATCAGCTGGGTTTTTTTTACATGTGATCAGCTGTTTTTTGTTTACAAGTGATCAACTGTTTTTGTTTACAAGTGATCAGCTGTTTT